CCTCAGCACATCTCGTGGTATGTAAAAGTACGGCTTCTCCTTTGACTCTTGTTTTTGATATCTATAAAAAAATCTTTCACTTTTTTGTCTTCTTCAGCTGCTATTTGCTCATCAGTCTTTTCAGGAAGTATTTCTTGAGAAATAACTCTTTTTCTCGGGGTCTTCTTTGCCGCCGAGCCCTTAGACGTCTTTGTAGTGCGTCGCTGTGGAGGGGGTGGGGCGGTGTTGGAGACCGGCGTGGAGGCGATGAGGCCGGTGTTGGTGGAGACCGGCGTGGAGGTGTTGGAGATCATTGTGGAGGCGGTGGGGCCGGTGTAGGAGTTGGAGATCGTTGTGGAGGCGATGGAGCCGGTGTAGGAGTTGGCGATCGCCGTGGGGATGAAGTCGTCTCGCCCCCCCGCGTCGCTGTGATGAGATGGGGAATGAATGATTGGGCTAGGCTGGGGGGAGACCCTGCTATAAAAACAAGTTGTGTGTCAATTATTTTTGAAACCAATAGAAAATTAATGGAAAATAATATTTCATTCACTTTTATTCATACCTAGGGTGAGGTAGGGGAAGCGGTGGCGCCCCAGGAATGATGATGAAGCGTTTGCACCATTGAATAAATGTCTTCTCTGCTTCTCCTAGTGTCTTCTCCCCATCACCGCCTTCAATGTCAAGAGGAACATTGCTGTAACCTTTCAGCACTCTATCGACCGAGATGCTAGCATATCCAGGTTGAATAACTGACCCATGGATTCTTGGTGTCTTCGTTCGGTCTATTGGAGATACAACCCCGATAGCCACCATGATTGATGCATTATTACCATCTGGAATGTGCAGCTCACATGTTGTTAGAGGCTCGGTAATATCATCAACAGGGAAGCACAACCCAGCGTCATCTTGAATAACTGGCAGCTCCGTGGAAGCACAACTGCTTTTCATCTGACCAACGGGGCTAATGGTGACTCCCGGCGTTGATTGCGATTGCATTTGACTCATTGCTAGCTGCACTTGCCTCTTGATCTCCTCCTGCGTTCTTGCCTCAAGAGATTTTTCTCGTTCACGTGATTCAAGCAATGCTTGTCGTGACTCATCAACAAATTGCTCCAATGCACGGATTCGTTCTGCCTCCTCATCCTTCTTTCTCTAGCGGCTTCTGTAGGTATCCTTGTCTGCTGGGAATGCGTGTAGCCATGGAACCGCCCCATAGCCTCTTGTTCGACCACCATGTTTGGGATTCTCTAGGGCATATGTCAATTCATCCTTCTCTCTGTTGGGCTTGAAAACACCACTATCAGCTTCTTCCCTAGCACGAGCTAGTCTCTGTGTTGCTCTCTCAATTTTTTGGCCGAAAATTAGCATGCCAGTGTCTGGGTCTAGGCTTCCCCCATGAGCGTAGAACCAATTCTTCGTGCGTTGAGGCCAGTTCTTCTCTATTGTTTTAGGTATGATTCCCTTGGCAGTAATCTCTGCTTCTTGGTTTTGCCACTTAGGAATAGCACTCCTATAACCACCTGATCCCATGCGATGATGGTATTGCTTCTGTCGGGCATTCTGCCGATTCCTCATCACACGTTCCTCACTGTCTTGAGATGTCTTGTATTCTACAAAGGCATCCCAATGGAACTCCAACTTGACAAACGCCTTAGCATTGAAATCCAGCGTAGCATTCTTCAAGATAAACTTTTTATACAATGTCTTCTTCCAACTCTAGAACAATGTTGCCATCTTCTTCATTGTCCAATCCCTCACTAGCTCCTTCAAAGCATCATCTGCTTGTAATGTGAAATGCTGAGTGATATCTCTCCAAGCTAGGTTCTTGTCACGATCAGATACAAAACTAACATTAGGAGCGGATATCTTCTGCTTCCATTCACGAGCACTAACTGGGATCCTGTCCCTTACAATGAACCCACATTGATTGACATATGTCTGAGCATGTGGTCTCAATGGTTTGCCGGTGTCGGTGTCGAATTCTGATATTGTGAAACGGCCCTCTAATGGCTTTTTTGCCCCTCGGACTTTCCTACTTTTGTCGGTGGTTGATGTAGATCCAGAGACCGGCTACATGAGTAGAAACACAACGATTAACAACTTTGCATGGTCTTTATTTCTAAACAAACGTTTTAAGCATGGTATTATAGGAGCATACCACATAACCTTGGCAGGGATTTTCTTTCTAGGACGTTGTTCACCCTTGACGTCACCAGGATCATCGCGCCTGATCTTATACCGCGATGCTTTACATACCGGGCATTCATCCAAATTCTCGTATTCATTGCCATGGTAGAGGATGCAGTCATTAGGACATGCATGTATCTTCTGGATTTTTAATACCAAAGGGCAGACAACCTTTTTTGCTTCGTACATAGTGGTGGGCAATTTATTTGGCTTCGGAAGCATCTTCTTTATGAGTTTCAATAAATTCCCAAATGCCTTGTCGGATACACCATTCTTTGCCTTTCACTGTAGCAATTCCAGTGTTGTACCCAACTTTTTTTGCCCCTCTTCGGCCGTCGGGTATAGCAACTTCCTATGATCCTCAAGCATGCGCTCGAACTTAACTTTCTCTTTTTCACTTTCCCATTCTTGTTGTGCATCACGAATGGCATCGCCAAGAGCATCACCGAGATCATCTTCTACCGCTACCTCTTCTTCATCTCCCCCCATTGTAGTATCATCAAAGGCACCATACTGAGCAATAATGTCATCAATGTCTAAATCTTCTCCTTCACCTTCTTCCATCATGACCCCGCTTTCTCCATGCTTAGTCCAACATATATAGTTTGACATTAAACCTGACTTAAGCAAATGTGAATGAAGACTCATTGAGCTTGAATATTCCTTTAAATTATTACATAGGGCACATGGACAGCACATGAAACCATCCCGCTTATTTGCCTTGGCCACTCCTAAGAAATAGTGCAAGCCCTCAATAAAGTCTTGGGAGCGGCGATCGGCATTGTACATCCAATGGCGTGACATAATCTGTATTACACGACAAATTATGAAAACCTTGAACATAATTAAGTATTTTATTACACAACATAGATGACACACACACGGTTGATTAATTAACTAAGCCTGGCTACAACATAAGCAATCCCAACTATCACTAAACAAACTAAAACTACAATGCACTTCAGTAACATAATTATTTCATGATCGTACGCAACTAAAACAGACAAATCATTCTTCTGTTGAATATCAATAAGCTTCTCCTACTAGCTCACTGCCTCATCAGCAGCAGCCGAATTCTGCACGTATGTAGCATAATCTTCCTCCCAGTACCAACCATCGCATCCATTGCCCTCCCACTAAAATTAAAGCCAAAAAATATTTAGTCAAAAATATTCAAGAAAAGCAGGTCAATTAACCATAATAATCAAATGCGTAAGAAACTCACATCGCGATCCGGGCACTTGTAGAAAACACGACCCTTGTTGGGTCCCTGTCTCTTGACTCGGTACTCCATCACAATCTTCTGCTTACACTTGCCGCAGATAATGAGAGGGAGTTCTGCCTCGATCGTTCATAAGTTTAACGAGAGGCCGAGGATCCGATACCAGTTGTCATCTACTTTCTATACTTATTTTTGCAAACTACTGTAAATTTCACATTTTCTAAAATAATATATTTAAACAAAACTAAAATTATTTATTTATCTAACTAAACCATGAAATATGTACTATGTATAATAGTAAATACCAAACTATCAAGTGATTTTACTATTGTAAATCATCATGTGATTTTGAGCTAAAAATGACATAGAAATCACATAGCTCAAAAACATGTTTCAATAAATAACCATCCGTACTAGTTGACCTTGCTTACGTGATCATCTCGGCGAGCATTTCTCCACCGGACGGCACCGTACTTGGCCAAGGAAGAGCTCCGATTCTACGAGAAAGGGAACACGGTCTTCCACGACCGTTGCCGCTCTCCCTCGTAGAATCAAAGCTCCTCCTTGACGTCTGTTACCGCTCGGCAGAGAAAATGCTCGCCGAGATGATCACGGTCCGCAAGTTCAACTAGTATGGATTTTCTACAATTTTCTAACTATTTTCTAAGTTTTTCATTTCATGAAAAAATTAATTCTAAGATCACGTAAGCCGCCGGGGACGAGGATGGCGCGTGCTCCAGCGAGGACGAGCGAGGCGTGATTTTGATGAACTAATTTAACTTTTATTTATCCAAACATATATGCAAATCATCATATGATTTTGAGCTAAAAATGACATATAAAATCATAATAAAGTCCAACATATAAAGTTACACATGCATCTACATCGCAAAATGAGATAAGCTACTGATAAAATATAAGAGGATTAAGTTTATTACCTCCAAAATCGAAGAGCAACACCAATGGAGGGGGAGAGAGCAAGAACAATAGCAAGCTGAAGAACAGAGGCAGTGAGTTTGAATGGAATGGCTCGGGCTCGGGGAGGAAGAAATGAGCCGGTGTATAGGCCGGCATAATTAGTCCCGGTTAGGTGGCCAAACTGGGACTAAAGATTAATATTTATTCCTGGGGTATCACCCAAACCGGGACTAAAACCTTTAGTCCCGGCAGGTATTACCACCTTTAGTCCCGGTTGGTAATACCAGCCGGGACTAAAGATCCCTGCCACGCGAACGACCGTTGGGCAGGGACCTTTAGTCCCGGTTGATATTACGAACCGGGACTAAAGGGTCCTTTAGTTCCGGCGGCAAAAAATACCGAGGCTAATGTCAAATTAGGACATTGTTCTAAAGTCTGTTCTCTAGTTGCGAAACTTCGATGAACCTGACGCTGACACCTATGGCGTAGCACATTCCTCTATGAACGGAGCGGAGCATACGGCGGGAAAATACTTTGACGCATCCACAATAACCAAGAGCCAGGCCGGCCAGCAGCATGGACGTCGCTACTCGACCTCGAGCCCCTATAAAAGGCCAGGACACGTAGGGCCTTCTCTACGCACTGCACACTGCTTGCAGCACAAGCTACAAAGTAGTACCATGTAGGGTGCCCAATGGCAGCCACGCGAACGTGCTTGGTCGCCCTCGTCGTGTCTCTCGGGTTTCTCTTCCTAGAGAGGCCCGCCACAGCGGCGGCGGAGACGACTGCCGGGATGCCCGCGGAGTGGCGGCAGGAGGTGCAGAGCCTCCTGAGGCGTCTCAACAAGACTCCTCTCGCAACCATCGAGGTAGAGATATATTGGCGTCACCCATCCATCTCCTATTAATTAAACGCAACACGCCGTGTGTTCAGCTTGACGTTCAAGCAAAGGTCGTGCATGCTATCACTATGGATACAATATAATAATCACTCTAACAAGGAATAATAGCCAGCGGCGCACACGTAATTCTTGCTTCCATAGTAACAATGATAGATAGATTGCTTCGTGGTTTAAGCTGGCAGACAATCCATGATAGCACTAGTACACGTAAATCTTGATGTCCCTAGCTATTTCTAGGAGTGCCACAAAGACATCATAGCACTAGAACTAAAACGTGTTTTTAGGATTAGGACCTCCTGTGGTAATACATTTCTGTTGGCACTTTTGTTAATTTAGGACATCCTGCGTTACAGAGAACTGATTCGTGTGAAATTTATATGCAATTCGTGCATTACAAACAGATCGCCCAATGGTAAAATACTTAGTTACCGCGACATTTCAGAGATGACATACATGTATTTAACAAGAGTTCGATATATCGCCAACTCGCCAGTCGCCACAGTCATTCATAGTCATGTGTCAACAGAAGTTTACTCAAGACAAATATTCATCACATATGTCGTACAAATGTGAAGATGAATATAGTTCCACTTGAACTTTCCCAAAGATAGAGTAATTAGTATTCGATTTCGTAGTAGTCCGCCAGGGCTAACAAATTAAAGTAGCCATCCGGACGACAAGTTTCGTGGTGGACGAATCAAATGCTTGTAATTTTGTCATCATTGAGATGCTTGTTTCAGTTATGTGACGCAAGTACAGTAAAAACATGGACGAGAAAAGAGTAAATGCGATACAAGTGACAAATCTTAATTAACTTACTTACAGGTTTGTTATATTCATATTAGTATCTTATACAATTTTTCATATGTGTTGTACTAAAAATCCATGGTGTATACAACATGCATCTCTTCTCATGGTTTTATAAGAGATAGCAGAGACTTAATTAATGGGATAAATTTGAAGTATAACCATAATAATTGTCTTTCTTATTTTTTCTAGATTCCCAATTAGTGATTATAGGGCACTAAGAATTTTAAATTGTGGATTAAAAACGCATTCCTTGGTACTAACTGATTCATGTCAACAGAACCAACATGTCTTTCCTCATGAAAATGAGCACATTATTATGGCAGCGTCATGAATAAAAGCTATCTTTTGAAAATAGCAGCCAACACAGGGGTTAGACGGTACATGGACTTCTTAATATTGCAATGAGGATCCAAAAGTAGTGGATAGTAAAAGAATCAAAAAAGGAAGAGGAATACTAGTACAGAAACGGGCTTTACTCCCGGTTGGGAAACCCCTTCAGTCCCGGTTTCCCAACCGGGAGTACGAATCCGGGACTAAAGGGCTCCTCTTTTAGTCCTGAATCCGGGATTAAAGGGCTCCTCCTTTAGTCCCGGTTTCTCGCTCGGGACTAAAGGTCCACCTTTAGTCCCAGTTACCAACCGGGGCTAAAGAGGCCTCCCGGCCCGGCTACGTGGGCCGGACCTTTAGTCCCGGTTACCAACCGGGACTAAAGATTTTCTTTTTTTTGTTTCTGTTTCTTTTAATGATTCGTTCGTATTCTACGCTGTTACCGGGTTTCTTTTTCTTTTGATGATTCGTTCGGGACTTTCTATTTTCTTTTTCTTTTTTTGTTTCTATTTTTAATTGATGATTCGTTTTGTCTTTCGAATACGCATTCTACGCTGCTAGGATATACGTAACATTTTATACAAATTAAAGTATCAAGGATGCAGCGGTACGATCCTATAGAACAGATCCGGTTCAAGTAAAGTCATGCTGCATGGCTCCAGAGCTGAGCTTTTAAATTAGCTTTCACTCTTCTAAGCAAACGAGCTGGTGCTAATAGGTGGGACTGGCCAGCAATTCCAGCATATTGCGTACTGAGCCGCTCTATTCTGGTCGAGCCGGCCCATCGAGACAGCAACCGGGACTAAAGCTAATGCAGCCTTTAGTCCCGGTTCTAACAGCGAACAGGGCGTTTAAAGCTTGTCGCCGAATAAACTCAAAAGTGCATGCATGTAGATGTACTAAAGCTAACAACAACCGGGACTAAAGCTAATGTAGCCTTTAGTCCCGGTTCTAACAGCGAACTGAGCCTTTAGTCCCGGATGGATGGACGGCAGGTTAGTTGCATGTAGAGGAAAGTGCAGTTGACGCATCACATACAAGAGCACAACCGGGACTAAAGCTAACATGCATTTCTAATTTCTAAAAGGAAAGTGCAGTTGAGGCCCACGCAGCCCATCCACATGATCGGTTGGAGACCTTTAGTCCCGGTCGGAGACAGCAACCGGGACTAAAGGTCCCTTTTTAGTCTTGGACGGAGCCTCTAGCCGAGAGTAGACTTTTACTCCCAGTTAGAGGGACCGACCGGAAGTAAAAGGTAACCTTTAGTCTCGGTTGGAGCTCCAACCGGGACTAAAGGTCCCCTACAGCAAAAGCCTGCCGCAGTAGACGTTGGGCAGGGACCTTTAGTCCCGGTTGGAGCTACCAACCGGGACTAAAGGTTTCTCTAGTCCCGGGTGCGAAAAATACCAGGACTACAGCCAAATTTCGAAGTGGATCAAAGATCGTTTCTCTACTACATGTTAAATAGTACTTCTTATGAAGTTATTTTAGGCATGTTTCATCTAAAACCAGTGTACTACTTTCACTAATGCAGATGAATTTTACATTATATGTAAATAGAATAGCCTAACATGCAGAAGAAATTACCTGTGCTTTGAATTGGCAGTGCCTGATAGGATCATTTCTCCTGAATCAACGGACAGGGTATCCTATATACAGGAAAATATCAACAGATGCACCATATATCAGAGCTAGTACAAAAATCGACCAGGAACAGTAGGTAAAAAAAAACCTTGCAGAGTCTCCCACCGCAGCAGCAACAGGAGACCTGAGCGGCCATGGATCTAGCCACTCCTGCTTGAGTGGACATGTATCTAGCCGCCGAGTGGACATCGATCCCACCTGAGTGGACATGGATCTAACTGCAAGTTGGAGGAGTGGGTTCAAATCGCAACCACGTGGAGCAGCGACGCGTGGAGGACCTTCTCTTAATCCTCATCGTAGCCCGCACCACCCCTTGCGCCCTCGCCGTGGCTCCCGGCAACGGCTTGTGAGTGCCTCCGGCACCAGCGGTGGTGGAGGAAGACGATGTACCCGCGCCCTCCGATGTGGGTGGCTCGACGATGGGCATGACATGAGCGGCGGCGACGTGAGCAACGGATCCGGGGAGGATGCCATGACGCAGTGGAAGCCCCACCTCCCCACCCTTCTAGATCTATATCTAAGAGGGGAAAGGAGGGTGTTCTGGCCGCACCGGTGGAGGGGTGGTGGCCGCGCCAGTAGAGGAGGGGATGGTGGCCGCAACGGTGGAAGAGGCGGTGGCGTCGTCGGAGGAAGAGAGGAGGGGGAGGCGACGGGAGATGGATGGGGCGGTGGCGTTGGAGAAAGAGAGGAGAGGGGGCGAGGGACAGACCAAGGGGGTGGAGGCAGATGCGGACCTGAGTTGCGAAGTCCGGGATTTGATAATTTTTTCAGGTCCGTGAACTCATTAGGTGTGACGCACCTTCACTAGACACGTCTCTCATAAAATATCTCTAACACAGATGCGCCTTATTCCTATACCACAGACGCGTCTCATTAATTACAGACACGTCTTTCGAACACGCGTCTGTAGTAAGTGCTTATTACAAACGCGTGTTGACCCCTCCGGACCGGTGACCTCAATTTGCGACTTATTACACAGACGCGTGTCGGGAACGCGTGTCTATAAACTCATATTACAGACGCGCGTTCGTCCCACGTCTATAGGGACGCTGGCGGATATTACAGTTTTTTTACACAGTGCAGTATGCATATGTGAATGATATGACGAATCTAATTCATGTTGAGATCGAGTGTAATGTATAACTAAAGTATATGCATGTCGCATGTTTCGATTCTACCAGTACTTGCGCCTCTGTAATATAATTAAGGCTGCTGTGATATGAATTTGATGTTTGGAGTCCAACTTTGGTTGATTTCTCCAAGCCCCGTTTAAAGTTGGACTCCAAGCCCCGTCCAAAGTTACTGTTCATGGCTGATTTCGTCTCACAAATTTCTCCAGATTCCTTCAAATTTCTCCAAGCGAACGAGGCCATAACCTTCATTGACCGGCATTTATTATTTTGACACCAGCTTTCTAGATCATGCAAACCATCAAATTCTAACTCCTCCAAGGCAGGAAATGTAACCTTCGTTGACCGGCGGTTATTATTCTGATATCGGAAAGCATCATGACTCAGCTTCTTAATATTTGGAATTTGAGAAAGCTGAAGACATCGTAAGTTTGTGAGGCTTCCTATGCATATAGGAAGCTCCGTAATACCAGAGCAAAAATACAAGCACAATGTATCCAAGTTGTGAAGCTCGCAAAAACGAAGCAGTGACCAATCACTGTTATGAACCGAGAGTTGGAGGTATCTTAGACTGATAAGATTGCAATGTTTAATCGAGAATTTATGCCAAGGAGCGAATATAATCAATTTCTCCAGGCTCTAAAGATGACATGTTATTTCTGGACACAGTTCCAGGTTGTCATCAGTCCCTAGGCTCTCTAGCATCTTTCTGATACCTAAAAAATGTTCATTTTGAAAAATCTTGCGCCTGTCTATTACACGGAGATAGCGTAAGTGCTTAAGATTCATGAAAGGTAGTATGCACCCAGAAAAAACAAGAACATCTACTACAACAGATTTCAGGCGTGTGAACACAGATATGTCAACAATATCAGGTGAGGGCCACACCACGAAGATTTGCCGATTGTAACATACCTAGGAATATCCTAAGAATACCTGCCAAATATACAAGTGCCGAACCTTATTTGCCATGTTCAAACAACCTTTATCATACCCCCTCATACAGAAAGCACATGGCTGGACAGAGATTTTGCAAGATCCCAAGTCACATCATGCAACCTAAACCGTTGATGTGACAAAAGCAAATGATCAGAAGAAGCCATGCTCATCTTTTTATGAAAAGACGATGATCTTACATGAGAATCAACAAAGTCTTCGCATGTGCTGAGAAGCTGATCAAAAGATATTTTAACTGATGATCTTGTGAGTGGATTTTTCAAATACCGGTGACCATTACTGTGGTACAAATCTGTTTCAATCAGTGATCTTTCATTCAACTCATCAAAGTATTCACCAGCAACTTTCTCTGGTATTTCGAATCTTTTCAGGTGAATGCAACCATGAGCAACCCACAAGTGAATCATGTCATCCTTGGTAAATGAATGGCCTTTGAGATACAAAGTGCACAGTAAAAAACAAGGTTTAAGTTCTGCTGGCAATCTATAAAAGCTCAATCTTAGAGCAGAGAAGATCTCTTCATGATCATCTAAACTTTCCCAAAACTCACTTTCCAATATTTCCATCCAAGTCTGCACATCCATCTTGAGCCGTAGCAGGCAACCTATCGACATAACTGCCAATGGTAAGCCACCACACTTTTGCATAATTTTCCTTCCAACCAGAACCAAAGTGGATCCTTCATCAAAGATTTTGTTGCCAAAAGCATAATGTTGGAACAACAACCAGCAATGATCTTCAGGCAATATGCCAAGAACAAGGTGTTCGACTGATTGAACAAGGCATGCTACACCTTTGCTCCTAGTAGTCACCAGGATTGTAACACTTTGAGCATCCTTGAGTGGATGCAGCAATTCAACCAGAGATTTTTCTGTTCATTCCATAGATCATCTAGCACCAGGAACACATCCTTTGCATTTACTTCTTCCTTCAGAACATCGTGAACACAGCTTAATTCACTGAATTCACACTGTTTCCCGCTCAAGTACTCAGTGACCGCATTCGTTAGCTTGAGCAAAATCAAATGCTTGGGATACATGAACCCAACCATGAAGATCAAATCGATCTTGGACTCGGTCATCGTTATAGACCATCTGTGCCACCGTAGTCTTGCCAATGCCGCCCATACCAACAATTGGTAGA